TGACTGGAAGGACTTGCCGAAACATGTGGCCGACGCACAGACTGAGGAATGTTTCAAGCGCTTTTGAATTCTCAGTTGATGAGATAACTGGGACCTTGCTTCTTCCAATGTTGCTGTTACGGCCCTTGTGGAATACCGTCTCGTAGCGACTCACGGCATCCACGCAATGATCGGGAAGTGAAGGAGCTGACAAAGGACTTTCCTTCTGCTCTCTACAATCCAATGATCCAATGATTTTGACACTTATATTTTTGCGGATGACTTGAAACTAGTCAGCAGGGGCAACCGTGCAACACTGGCCAAGGATATCGTCAGTGTGGTAAACTGGTCGAAGCAATGGGACTTGCCTTTGAATGCAAGCAAGTGCCAAATTCTGACCACTAGTAGAGACATACTTGCAGTTCAGACTTCCTTTGGGCCCTTCCCCTTACAATGCACTACCCAGGCACGCGATCTAGGAGTCATCATGACGAGCAGCTTCAAGCCTTCCATGCAATGTCGATACGCCGCCAACAATCGCGACGAGAATTGTTTCGCCTCAGGAGGGCTCTGTGTAATACCAAGCCAGAAGTGTTCCTGCCACTATACAAAGCAGTGGTTAGGCCACACTTAGAGTATTGTGTTCAAGCTTGGTCGCCCTATCTCCGTGGTGATGTTTTTTGCCTGGAGAAGATTCAAAGACTAGCAACCAGGATGGTTGAAGGTCAACGGGGGAAACCGTATGAAGATCGCCTAAAGAGCCTGGGGTTGTTTTCCCTTGAACGGCGTAGACTAGAGGCTATCCGATAGACACATTTAAGATCATGAAGGGCCTCAGTGCCATCGTGCCCTCTGATTTATTTGAGCTGGCTGATTCTGAACGCTTGCGTGGACATCGCTTGAAGCTCAAACAGCGGAGGGCTAGACTGAACGTCAGGGCTAAGTTCTTCTCGAATCGTGTAGTGCGCAACTGGAATAAGTTGCCTTCGGAACTAATGGATTGTGAGACTGTGGTTGCCTTCATAGCAGGCCTAGACAGGTGCTGGCCGCGTATTTTTCCGGAATTAATATAATCCTATCCAATTTATTCGCATTGATATCCGATGTTGATCCTTGTAAAAGCAAAGATTGCTCTCGCTTTTGCTTCATTTCTTTTTGCAGAGGCAAAAAGAGGCGATCAAAAGTCGAAGTGCCGGGGGCTCTGGTTCGCTTACCGGTACAAGAAGCTGGACGCTCGTTAGGCGGAAGCCTGTATAGTCCACGGATTTTGACCTGACCTGACCTACACTGTTCCACAAACATTCGCTGAGAATGCTGGAATTTTGCGGCTGTCACTGCAATTGCGACGAACCCTTTAGGAACGTCGTAATGCAACGACACGCATCAAACTTAGTATGATACGGAATCGATGGGGCTGACAAGGGATTTCCCTCCTGCTCTTTACAACTCAATGAACAATGAATTTTGCTCTCACTAAAGTTGAGATCTTACGGGATATCTCGTCGCGCCATTCATTGTGTGTCTCCCCTTGTGGGGAGGGAACAGTGCGTACAAGTGGGGCGTAGCCTTTCGCTCAGGCAAGCTGTCCTTAGTGGCGTTCCGCATGGCTCGGTATTGGGGCCATAGTTTTTTGCGATCTATGTAAATGACTTGCCAGGAGAACTAGGGGTGTCATCATTAATGTTTGTTGACGACCTTAAGCTCTGGAATATTGTGGATATCCCGGGGGGTCCTGAGAATTCAGCGTGCCTTGGATAGGCTCTGGGAATGGTCTACCTTATGTTTGATGCCCATAAATAGGGCCAAGTGCTCTGTTCTCCGAATCAGAGTTGCTAATCCTCCCACCAGATACATTGTCGGCGGTGGTGAACTCCCTGTTGTCACTCAGCAGGTTGATTTAGGAGTCGTACACGCATCAGCACTTCATTCTGGAGACAACTGGAAGAAGGCTGCTTGTCGAGGGTTTCGTATGATGTGGTTTATACGCCGCTCTTTCGGAATCCTAACGACCAATTTTTTGTGAAGCTGTTTTCGGCATTCGTCCGACCCCAACTGGAATATTGTATTCAGGCTTGTCCACCATGTCTTAAATGGGCTTGGAGAGGGTGGGCACTCGGCTAGTACAGGGTCTACGGGGACAGACGTATCCTGAACGCTTGCTCAGTTTGGGGATGTACTCAATGCACTACCGAAGGATAAGAGGGGACCAGATTCTCACTTATCGTATTTTGACGGGTAAGATTGGCCCGGACTTATCAGGGCTATTTAGTCCCGCTACGTTATCTAATCTCCGCGGTCACCCACTGAAACTGCATAAACCACGGTCTGATAGGATTTCGATGGAAACCCGTCTGTCGCGCCGAGTTATAGATCGCTCGAATTCGCTTCCAGATCACGTGGTTACGGAACCTACGGTTAAGGGTTTTGCGCGCCAGCTCGATGCTCTTGGGTGGCAACAGCAAACTTTTCCTTTTTCCTAGCTGACTCACCTTCACTTTTCAGTTCTTGTTTAATGACTCAAATATCTTGGTATTCCAATTGCTTAACTCTTTCCAATTTCTCTTATGCCTTCTGAGTTTACTTTTTTCTCTCTTAATTCACGTAACCGGCCCAGCAGGGACTGCTAGGGAAGGATACGTGGGCATTACTTGATTCGACAGGGTGTTATGCGGTCTTTGTTTTAGGTCCATCAGTGTTTCAAAGTTCGCCAACTTCTGGTTCAACGACCGGCCGAAGAAGGAACACTCACGGGATAATCCTATCGTTCCAGTCCCGATTGAACTTGAACTTGTGGTCTGGCCAAAGCGTCTCCCTGACACTTACTGGTAATTTTGTGGTTGTTCCCTTTTTAATCCCGTTTTACACCCTGTTTTGCTTTTTTATTGTGGTAGTTTTACGGTTGTCTACGTGCTTTCAAATTCTGCTCTGCTTTCCACTTAAACATGGCTGTCTCGCGAAGAACCGAGGCGGGTTCAAGTTCAAGTGAGAATGGAACGATAGGATGAATCTCGTAAGTGTTCCTTCTTGAGCGGGTCGTTGATCCAGAAGTTGATAGAGGTGCTCCGACTTCCTGAAGGGTCTAAAAGGAAAACACTCGAAAAACACCCTGGTCCACCAAGTTAATGCCCACGCTCCTTACATTAGCTGTCCCAGCTGTCAGTTACGTGAAGTAAGTAAGAGAGGAAGAAAAAGCGAAGGTAAGAAAGTAGGGGAAATCAGTTAAAAGAAGAGAATAATACCAATGGTGAGGAAAATAGAATCGAAGTACAAAGATGGGAATTAGTCGGGAAAAAGGAAAGGTTTCGTGTTGCCACCCAGGAGCGTCTAGTTGACGCTCAAACCCCTTAACCGTAGCTTCCTTGACAACATGTTCTGGAATCAGGTTCCAGTGCTCGATGACTCGACGCGATAACCGTGCATCCGTTCTAACTCTATCGGGCCGCGGTTTGTCCAGCTTCATACAATGCCCGCAAAGACCAGATAATCTAGCAGGACTAAATAGCCAGGACAAATCAGGACCAACCTTCCCAGTCAAAATACGGTAGGTTAGGATTAGGTCCCCTCTAATCCTTCGATAGTGCATTGACTGCATCCCCAAACTAATTAGGCGTTCGGGGTACGTTTGCCCTCGTAATCCCTTGACCAACTTAGTACCGACACGCAACACCCTTTCTAGTGCCATTTTGTCCCGCACAAGGCATGGTGGACAGGCCTGGACGCAATATTCTAGGTGGGGTCGCACAAACGCTGAGAAAAGCTTCACAAACACATGAGCGGTTAGGGTCCCGAAAGAACGACGGATAAACCACAACATCCGGAACCCTTTACTAGCCGCCTTTTTCCAGTTGTCTCCAGAGTGTAGTGTGGAACAGTGGACGACACCTAGATCAACCTGATGAGTCACGTGAGGAAGTTCACTCCCATCGAGCACATAAATTGTGGAGGAAGCAGACGCTCCGATACGCAGCACTGAACACTTTGCCCGGTTTATGGGCAGCCGGTGGCCGAATGGTCTGCACGTTTGCTTTGCAACCATAAGGTCATCGGTTCGAATCCGCGTAGGGGTGGGCGTCCTCGCGCTATACTTAGCCCGCGCGCGACTGGTGGTGGTCGCGCGGCAGCGAAGCGCCGTTACGGCGTACAGCTGACACATTATTTATTCATTATTATTAGCTACAAGACAGACCATTCCCAGGGTCTATCCAGAGCCCGTTGAAGAGCCACAGGGATATCAACAATGTTCCAGAGTTTTAAGTCATCAGCAAATAAGAGCGATGGCACCTCAAGCTCCTACGACAAGTCATTCAAGTAGACAGAAGAAAGCAGCGGACCTAGGACAGCGCCTTACGGAACGCCGCTAAGTAAGCTTGTCGAAACGAAAGACTGCTTCCCACACGAATACACTGTTCCCGTGCATCCAGAAAAGCTGACACCCACTGGAGAGCGTGACCAGATATTTCATACGACCTCAACCTCAGTGAGAGTCGCGAATGGCGGACAGTGTCAAAATCCTTGGCGAAGTCAATGAACACCACACCCACCGCATGTCCACTGTCTGCGGCATCAACACAGCTCACACGAGCTACCAGCAAGTTCGTCTGACACGAAAATCCTTTGCAAAAACATGTTGCTCGACGCAAAACAGGTTAGACATATTTAAATGGTTCTCCACTATATCTCGTAGTAATTTTTCAAGTAACTTAACGACCACGCTAGTCAAGCTGACCGGTCGGTAATTAGCCGGTAGGTCTTTGTCACCGCACTTGAAAATCGGGCAGACAACAGCCTCCTTCCATTCGGTAGGCAAGACACAGCTGTTGAGTGACTTCTAAAACACACAAGTGAGAGGTCCACTGAGTTCCACTGCCAATTCGTGCAACAATTTTGGATGAACAGAATCTGGCCCGGAAGCCTTAGTTGGGTTTAACTCTCTTAGCAACCGGAGAACTTGGGACTCAGTTACAGGAATTTCATTCAGACAACAATCCTCAGCGACACTTGAAGCTAACTCTTCGCATGGCGTATTTGTTTCGCGGACAAAGACGCTTGAGCACTGCTTACCAAGCACGCATGCCTTGTCATAGTCGCTATAGGCATGGGTCCCATCTCCTCGAAGCAATGGTGGTATGGGCGAGTTTGCACCACAGCTTCGTTTAACGTAAGCGAAGAATTTCTCGGGATTTTTCGAGGCAGTACTAGCTAAGCCCTTTTCATACTGAAGCCGGGCCAACCTAAGAGGTAGCTTGCACCTATTCCGAACCAACCGATACTTGTCAAACGTGCTGTTCGACGGAGCTGTTCGGTATGCTCGCCAGCATCTAGACCGCTTCTTTAGCAGGCCCTTCCCCGCGGAATCTATCCACGGAGGCTGCGATCTCGCTTCCCTTCTTTTTACCAGTGGGATGTGAGGTGCAGAAAAGTCTACGAGGTGAGCATTAAGTTTTCCCAGGCTACGCGAACAGTGTCGGTCTCAGATACCACACAAGGCGATGACCTAGCCTTATCCCGCATCGCTTGGAAGTCCGCGGCCCAAATGTTCGGATACCAGCTGGTAGTAGCTTGGCAAGACCTGATAAGAGGACACTGGAAAAACAAGCAAACGTGATCGCTAGCGCCCAGATGCGAGTCGTATTTAATGTCATTTACAAAGTCAAGTGACTTAACAAAAACAAGATGGACGGCTGCTGATTGCTCATGTACCTAGTGGGGAGGTTCACGAACTGGTGTAGTGGCACTTGCAGCGTTAATTCCAGCAGTTCTGTACCGAACGATTCCAGAGCCGAACTGCAAGATAGATCATCCCAACAAACCTCTAGGAGGTTGAAGTCTCCCAGCACCAGACACTTGTTCGCTGAGTGAGTGCGTATAAACTCAATGATTCCATTTGAGGTGCTCAAAGGGCTTCTATACACTAACACGACCGTAAGCTGAACCGAGGAAGCGCAAATCAAAACTGCGAGAGCCTCAACAGATTTGTCGAGGGACTGAAAATCGCTGCTCCTCAATACGTCAATGTGCTAACTCACATAAAGTGCTACACCACCCCCTTGACGGCCAGTGGAGCGGTCAGCGCGGAACAGTGCGTAGCCAGGCAGATATACTTCGCCATCTGTGATTTCCTCAGACAGCCACATTTCAGTGAAAGCAAGTATATCTGGACGAGATTTGTCTACGAGCAGACCCACCTCGCACATCTTGTTCCTCAGGTTACGCACGTTACTAAGTACTACTTGGAGGGCTTCGGCACGACCAGCCCTGGGTCGTGCGCAAGTAGTGTAGGTTCTTGCAGGATGGATAAGGACCGCCGGTTGACCACCTGAAAACCCACCAATCGGAGATGTTGCTCGCCAGCTGCACGCTGTGTTTTTAGGTCTCTGATGGCTTCCTTTAACTTTAACTTATCCGCTAACGAAAGGTCTGGTTGCACACTAACGTTGGTACCTTTGAGCTTGAAGGCAAATCTCAGTAAGGCCCCGCGCTCTTCTGGGGTGGAGAGAACCACCCTAAGCAGACGGGGTCGAGGATTTAGTTGACCAACCAGAACGTTCCCCAATCTGATGAGCTTCCTGACAGTAACGCCAGGGAAACCTGGTGGTAAAAGCCTGGTCACGCAAACTTTAAGCCAACCAAGACCATCAAGCATGCGCTCGGTGGGAAGAGCGGCAGTGGATTCAGTGACGTTTCTGAAAATCACACTGCTATCTGTGTAAGAATCGCCTCGACGAGGTGTATTTACACCACATGCTCTACTATCCACGCCACATGGTTGTTTGACAGGAATCGGTGGGAACGAAGGCGACGGCACCTCTTGTCTCACTGAGGGAAGTGCAACGCCAGGTGGTGTTTCCAACTCAGGCGCTTGTTTCTTGAGCATTTTATCGCCTTCCGATTTGTGGGCGGAGGGTTTGCGCGCTTTCCTTGCCCTCTTACGCTTATTCTTTAATGGCCCAGGAGCCCGTGACTCGCCTTCCATTTGGGGCAGGTCAACAATGCCGTCCGAGGCATCTGTGTCAGTTATATCCACGTGAACTGGAGCGTCCGGTAGGATGAACGCCTCGTCAACGGTTGGACTGACAGCAGAATGACAGTCCGTTACAGCGTCCATATTCGCAATATTCAGGGATTTCATAATCAAATCCACTTTAGAGTTGAGTGAGGCAAGAGAGGCAAGCTCGGCTAATGCCTTCTCAACAACTGTGAATCTGGATGCTAGTGCTTTGAATTCAGCACACCTTCGCTTTCTGAGCGCAACAATCAGCACATCTAAACGGAAGGTTTTCACTGGATGATGGCATATTGTACTGGTTCGCTCGGAGGCCGGTACAAGTTTTGTGATACCAGCGAGAGCAGAAATCACACTGCATACCACCAGATGAATCCGTGACTCGCCTTGGACAGGTATGGGTGAACCCCTTGGGTCCTCCTTTGATGAGTCAAATGCAGCTTGCGGCAATTCTGCCTGTTTAAGGCCAGTAACGGATTCATCTGGTGGTATGGAGTGTTATGTTTGCTCTCGTTGGTATCACAAAACTTGTACCGGCCTCCGAGCGAACCAGTACAATATGCCGTCATCCAGTGAAAACCTTCTGTTTAGATGTGCTGATTGTTGCGCTCAGAAAGCGAAGGTGTGCTGAATTCAAAGCACTAGCATCCAGGTTCACAGTTGTTGAGAAGGCATTAGCCGAGCTTGCCTCTCTTGCCTCACTCAACTCTAAAGTGGATTTGATTATGAAATCCCTGAATATTGCGAATATGGACGCTGTAACGGACTGTCATTCTGCTGTCAGTCCAACCGTTGATGAGGCGTTCATCCTACCGGACGCTCCAGTTCACGTGGATACAACTGACACAGATGCCTCGGACGGCATTGTTGACCCGCCCCAAATGGAAGGCGAGTCACGGGCTCCTGGGCCATTAAAGAATAAGCGTAAGACGGCAAGGAAAGCGCGCAAACCCTCCGCCCACAAATCGGAAGGTGATAAAATGCTCAAGAAACAAGCGCCTGAGTTGGAAACACCACCTGGTGTTGCACTTCCCTCAGTGAGACAAGAGGTGCCGTCGCCTTCGTTCCCACCGATTCCTGTCAAACAACCATGTGGCGTGGATAGTAGAGCATGTGGTGTAAATACACCTCGTCGAGGCGATTCTTACACAGATAGCAGTGTGATTTTCAGAAACGTCACTGAATCCACTGCCG